CTGAAAAATCATGAAGATATTCTGTCTAATCAAAGTCGAAACATCATCGACGTTCACAAGAAATATAATAAATGGTACGAAGTTGTACTTTATCAAATAGGTAACCAAGTCAAGTGCAAACGCTTCTCAAATCTGGATAGACGATTCATTTGTCTTCCTCTGTCTATTAATAATTCCAAATTAGTGACATTTCGACATCGCTAGACATACATTACAAGCCGCGACAATGATGAATTCGTCGACGTCGACATGTCTTCTGTGATTCTGTGTGCGCTTTAACGATGTAAGTGAAACGATGAGATCGAACTGATAGGCCATACAAAGGTAGTCGTTCGAGAAAGCTTGATGTACTCACCTGACTCTCGATATTCTCAGTAATCAGTCAAAGGTTGTTACAGACGGTTTAATGTCTAGTCTCTAGTAAATAGTACGATAAAATTATAACGTCCCGCTATACAATCCTGAAAACATGATCGAAAAGTTATAGCATTGCCTCCTACCTTAGGATATTTTAGGTTATGTAACTTCGTATTTATTTTTGTTCAGAGTGGTAGGAATAAGGCACTTTAGTAGACTGTAGCTATTGATGAATGAAATAAAATAAATAGTTCTTTATCGTTCGAGCATTAAAATAAATCTGCTACAGGTTACCTTATGATAAGGGTGCAACTCCTACCTGACGTAATTTTTAGTTGTATTAAATTAAATTTTCCTTCTCTATTTTCTATATGTAAAATTCCGAACTTTTCTGTATCGATATTATTGTATTATGGTTCTTAGTTGTTCATTATTTAGGTAGATGATGGTGGGTGGGATCGACAGAGGAGGTCTTCCCCACCACTGTACCATAAAAAGTTCGTGGCTATCTCACCTTCATAAAAAGTTATGGGGGTTAGATGCGAATGGGGGTAGAGCGCATCGAAAGAGGGTGGTCACCTGAGTAAAACCCCATAAAAAAATTGCGGCACCCTCACCCCCATAAAAAGTTATGGGGGTTAAATGTTGATTATTCTGACAATTTTCATATATTATAATTCGAATAAAATTCAATAAAAAAATTATTTTCAAGCGGGTGGAGGTGGGGGATCGAATGAGGGTGGTCACTTGAACAAAACCCAATAACCTAACTTAACCTAACCTAACCTACCCTATTGATAAAGATATTTAAATAATGTTTTATATAACTTTCTCAATATTTTTATGTATTTTTCATTAGTTTTACCTTTGAATATTGTTTAAGAATGACTATATAAATATTTTCATGCCTAGAAATGTATAAAAATTGGCATATTTATTAACTTTGAACCCCCATAACTTTTTATGGGGGTGAGACCGCTACGAACATTTTATGGTACAGTGGTGGTGGAGACCTCCTCTTTCGATCTCTTCCATGGGGGTGGGGGCCATCATCTATGCCTTTACCATTATTTATTTACACCAATGACAGTTTGTTTAGGTAACACGTCTTTGGAGTGTTTTTTAATTCTTACTTCCAGATTTCGTCCTGTCTGACCCAAGTGTGTATATGACTCTATTAATAATTTCGCAATTTTTCAAAATAACCAATTTTCCATTTCCATAATCGTTTATTTCCGGATTTCCACTGTTTCTCTTGTTAAGCCTTTTGCCCAAATACGGGATACGTTCGAATTGTATACTATCCCGTTTACTTGGTATTAACATAACCGGTCACCGTTATCGCTTTCATCGGAGCTTTTCGCCTCGCGCTCAACTGTATCTGGAGTCTAAATGTCTTAATTTTATTTAGACCAGAACCGAACGAGAGACAGAGGTAGCTGAAAAGTAAAAATAAGAATAAAATACTCGCGCCAGTTTGTCACCCACGGTCAATGGCAATCGGTTCATTATCGACGTTTTATCCGATGAACTCTTAAACTGCTTAACTGGCACCGGATGAGATGTTAACCGAAATAAATCTTTAACTAGAACACTAATTGTTTTACGAATGGGATATAGCGATACATAACAGCAATTATACGGGTTAATTTTGTGTAGGAGTTTAAGAACAGGGTTGGACCAATTTTACTTCAATATGTGTACTTTTAACAAAGTCTATAAACATCTCATACATCGCATACTATTGTGCATGAAATAAAAGGGAATATTATTTACGTATCTACAAGTCTGCTATCATTATCATTTGATTTTGATCATTTTAGGGGTAAATAAACCGTAAAGGAAATGTTACTTACCTTATTATCACCACGAGTAAACTTTGTAAGTTTGGAACAACTAAAATAGAAACATCAAATACAGCAAAGAAATGAAAAATTTTAAAATCGGAAAAATCTTACTTATGAAAATCCAAACGACTGATCCCAATGGCATTGATTGAATCCTTATTTGACTCCTAAATATGAACTACCTAAATTCATTTACATATTTTTTCTTTTTATTATGAAACTTTACGAACTTGACGCCTCTGAATCACTTTATATATGCCATCAGGTCATTTATCCTTGTTGAGGGATAAGGAAGTAATGTCACGTAAATAAAACAAGCTTTACTTCTACTTACAACTTTATTTGGATAAACAATAACTGCATTTATTAAGTGCTACATAGCTCCTTCCGCTGTTCATTGAAAGATACACAAGCGACAATTTGTGCTCTCACACGGTAAAATACGAAAGTCCTAGACCGTTTTTACGACACATAGATATATCTACAATTCATACGTACAGAGTTGTCACAAGCCCACACATCACCGCTGCAGTTGCAGTGGAGTGTCCGCCGGCCGCGCCATTAGTCCCCTTCGCGAGATAGCAGCCCGAGTCAGCTGCCAACTTTTTAGCAGTACTGTACGTCGTCGTACGACGTGTGGCTTGTTTACGACGAACGTTACATCGCGAGTTGTCCTGGTACAAAGTAAAGTACGACACGACATTGTCAGCGCGCGCGTTTACTACTAACGCGAACGATTTATTAATGGATCTAATGACCGAAAGGAGGAGGTGACAACAAATGTGTACATCCACAGATTGAGACGTTTACTAGCTCTTCGAAAATACTGCCAGGATTTAACCAAAGATTTATCTTGAATACAAGATAAAGTGAAAATTTCAATAATACACATTAGACCAATAGCAATATTATCGCATAATTATCGTCTTAATTCTGATAGTTACAAAAAAGAATTATAATTGAATGAAAATTTTATATAAGTAAATACAAACTATGATATTTTTGGGGTAAAGGTCTAGATGATGACCCCACCCTTTTAGGGGGGTCGAAAGACGAGGTCTCCCCTACCACTGTAATATAAAACGTTCGTGGCGGTCTCACCCCCATAAAAAGTTATGGGGGTACAAAGTAAATAAATATGCCAATTTTTATACATTTCTAGGCATTTAAAATAATATTTATATAGTCATTCTTAAACAATATTCAAAGGTAAAACTAATGAAAAATACATAAAAATATTAAGAGTTACATAAAACATTATTCAAATATCTTTATTATTAGGGCAGGTGAGGTTAGGTTATCGGGTTTTGTTCAAGTGACCACCCTCTTTCGATCCCCCACCTCCAACCGCTTGAAAATAATTTTTTTATTAAATTTTATTTGAATTATAGTGTATGAAAATTGTCAAAATAATTAACTTTCAACCCCATAACCTCTCTATTGGTGGTGAGACCGCCGCAAATTTTTAATGGGGTTTTACTCAGGTGACCACCCGCTTTCGATCCCCCCGAAGGGGGTGGGGGGCTATAATCTGACCTCCATAACATTTTATGGGGGTGAGACCTCCACGAACTTTTTATGGTACAGTGGTGAGGGAGACCTCCTCTTTCGACCCCCCCCCCCCAAAAGGCTGGCCATCATCTAGACATTTACCTTTTGGAAATTGTAAGCAGAATAAATTTATTGGTATAGGTGGTTTAAAATCTCATGAGTCGTAACGTGCGCGGGCCGTATTCGTTACGAAAACATTGTAACAAGATAAGCTGTAAACAGTAACAGCTAATGTTTGCAAGAAGTAGATATGTAGAAATCAATGTAAAAGTGGACTTTATCATTGTCCAGATTCATGAGATTCTGAACTACTTCTAGCAACTATTAATAATTATGCGAAGATTTTATCACTAATCGGAAAAGAAGTTTCCAACTGTTGTGAAAAATAATATAGGTAATTAACTAATATAGTGATGAAGTTTCCGTGATTGAACAATCTGTTAGAAATCTATCGACAGTATTTTCAGGAGCCGTCAGTAATCGTTTAGTTAATTTCCGGATATTCGTCCTCTGCGTATAAACATTCATTTGTCGGTGCTTCTCGCTCCTTCAGACTGTCGGTCACTGAACCGCAGCGATAAATGTCAATTAAACGTATCTATATTAGTTAATGCGTAAATATATAGAAGCAATAAATAAACGGAGTAAAATTGTCTTTGACTACACCGGGATTTTATTTCACAGCCGCGAACTCAATAAATAACGTAATTAATTCCTTTGGTTGACGATGCACCAGAAGACCAATCTCTGTTATGGTCTCTGTTACTCTGCACTGTTACGGACGAATTGCACCAGCGCCACAAAGGTTACGAAAACAACAATTGCATAATATGTTCAAAAAAGGTCAACCAAACGAGTTTAAAATAAACATAAAATACAACAAAATATCGTGAAAAAATTTCTAGGTAATAGCATAAAAAATTTGAAGTTGATTGTTATTAGTATAAAACACTTGAAAATTACTTCATTTACTTTCTCTAGCGATGTGCCCCTTCCACTGTCTTGGATGTGCGCTGGCAAAATCGTAGGTAGGGAGAAAAAAGCTCATTATACTCTCGACTCTTGTTCATTAAACATACTTTTTCATACAGTACCTGCCAAAAGTTTTGTTCAATCATGAATAGTAGTGCGAGTCGAAAACAAGCGTTAAAGCCTTTAATATGTCTTCAAATATAAATAAACATTTCGTTGATATTTTCAGTAGTAAATTGTACCAATAACAGCACATTTGAGCAATGCAATTGTAGTGGATAAAATGGTCAATTTTTCCGTGCAGTACTCTACGAATTATACGCTCCTCGCCGGTTAAACGTTTGGCCTAGAGTTGTCTCTTTCGTTTTCTGGCGTAGTGCTGTTCTTTTCTACTTTGCGCCGGACAAACTGAAGGTCACATCGCTACATAAACTGAATGAAGTATAACGTAATATTTTTTCCCGAAGTATAAAATAAAATTTGAAATAGAATTATAGTAAGTTCGTTGCTTTTTCTAAATAAACCATAAGTTTAAAGATATATCGTTCTTCTATTTCTTAATGATATACGATCTGTTAATTTCATTCCTTAAGTAAACGTTATACAATTTAGTTGTGACATTATTTAATTTGTAATTCGAAACTCGTTTAGTGCAATTCGTTTAAATCAAACTTCGTACCTTGATTCGCCAGTGCATTTCGTGCTGTCCGTAATCGGCTACTCGTCGCGGTCATGGATAGTGAGCTGTAGCGGCTGGAACTTGACCGCTTCCGTGGCCGCAGTCGAAGACGACTTGACCGGTGGATCAACTACTTCCACAGGACTCGTCGAGCCCGACTTGAGCGGTTCCTCCACGTCCGATTCGTCATTGACGTTGATTTCCTCGTCCTCGGAGTCGGTCAGAGTTGCAGTGTACCTTCCGCCACCACTACCACCGGTGGCGGAACTGAAGTATGACTGAGAACTGGGCGGCTGCACACCCTGGTTGGGCGTCAGAGACTTGAACGCACTATTTTCACCGCCCATTTGGAGCAGCAGAGAGGAAGTGACTGGGGCGGAAGTGCGCTGTGGTACAGTATGCGGTGAGCCAGGGGTGGAAGCGACCGTGTAGTGGGGTGAGGGTGTCAAACGACTCCCCGGACCGAACATCGACGGCGATCGACTTCCTTGATGGTGGTGTGGGTGCTGCTGTTGGCCTGGGGACGTCTGCTTTAGCATGTTCATGCGCTGGTGACGTCTCCATTTTGCTCGTCTGTTGGAAAACCAAACCTGGTTAAAGGCGCATTTGTTAATATACAGCAGTTGTGGATGAACATCGGTGTACAAGAACCAGAGTAGATAAATCACCTCAAATAGCACAAATCAAGACTGACGAAGCCATACAGTACAGTAGAAACCAATTACTACATGTTTCGTGAATGTTACAACATTATGAAGATGTTATGTTTGATCAACAAAGAAGGCAATCGTAATCCACAAGAAACAAAACGAGAAATCATGTTTTGATATTTCGTCTTTAAATTGGGATTTATTCAAAAGTAGGAAGAGAAAAATACAAATCAGAAAATACTAACAATACACCTAAGAACTTATAAGGAATCTCGTGAAGAATTGAACATTGTCATTGAAATTGCAACTCTTCCATCTTTTGTATCGATTTTCTAACATGTAAATTTGTTTAAAGATTTTAGGTAAATAACTAAAACTAAATACAGTCAAACCTGGATAAGTGAGAGCTCAAGGGACCGCGATCTGTTCCTCTCTTACAGAGGTTTCTCTCTAACTCGAGTTTCTAGCTTACAGAGTTACAGGAGGAATTTGTCTCACTTATAGAGGTCTATAAAAATACGGTTCGACAACACATCGAGTTTTCGTTTAGACATTATGAGGAAGTACAGGACCTTTCTTCGAAACTGCTTTTATGAACTGACTGTAATAAGATTAATAAACAAGTCGGTACGCACATTTGGCTATAATAAAATAATAAAGACTTACTCGGTCTTTCGCAGATTTGGTCTTTCGAATGAAATAAGAGTCTCTTGAAACTTAAGAACGAGTCATAAAATAGCAAAAGTAAACTGTCGCTTATAGAGGTATAGACAAGTAGCAATCTCACTTAAAGAGGTTCACGCATGAAAAATGACTGTCACTTATACAGGTTGTATGTTTCTCACTTATGGAGGCTTTAGAAGGGCAAAATAACGGAACCTAGCAAATACCCTCACTAATAGAGTTTCCTCGCTTACCCAGTTCCCACTTATCCAGGTTCGACTGTATTAATTTCAAAGAATATATTTTCAGTTTATATGATCCTGGTAGGAACTTGCAGCAACTTTGTTGTTTAAACGAGTCAAAATAAGCAAATTTGAATCGCTTGGTGCATCGTGGTGGGTATAATGATCCAGTTATCTGTCTTCCCTTCAATCTGAATTTGTAATGAAATGCAACAGTTGCAACGAAACAGGTGTGTTTACGATAGCAATAAATTCGCATTTAAATACTTTCACAATGAACCATTGAATTCTACTGATTACACGTAACGAAAACGATTTTTAACAGGCGCTCTCGCGGTGTTCAATCATGTCATTACAGATAAGATTTTCGTCATTTTGACACTAACTGTTTTGACTAAAGCTGAGAACGTGTAATGCTTCCTATCTCGAACTTGAATAAAGAGAATCCAATTACTTCGGGAGCTTGTTCTATCGACCATCAAGAGATACTGCCTACAAACGTCTTAAGCGAATTTTGGACATCCTACTGAAATCACTGTTTGTGCTGAGATCCTATACGCAGATGATTGATCATTATCAGATGAAATACGAACATGCTTAACGTATATATACGTTGTAGTTAGACGCATTACTCAGAAGTATCCGATAAGATTACCTATATATTATACGTATGATGTATTAATTGAAAGTAAAAACAGAAATACAGTATGTACAATGTATTAGATAAGGCAACTTCTACTGGTCCTTGCACCTATGAAAAGCGAAATGTTTGTATGTAACATACCTGAACTCGGGCTTCCGAGAGTGAAGTTTTTGATGCAAGTCTCTCTCTGGTTGAAACACAAGGGTAGTGACTTTTCTCAAATTCCTTTTCCAATTCTTCTAGTTGGTCAGGACTAAACGTGGTCCTATTTCTTCGAAATTTGGGTTGATCGTTTCCATCAGTACTTGAGTCGTCTTTGCCATCAACGTCGAGTAACCGGTGTCCTGGTGGAGACGACAGTAATCCGTGATCCTGGGGAGAACCGGCTGATCCTGGTGAACCAGATACCACAGGAACTCCGGCACCAGGTGCCGCCTGCATCCCCAGAGGACCATTAGGCCATAGGTGTGAATGCCACGGAAATGCGGCTGCTGCGGTGGCATAAGGGTGGGGATGGTACAAACCGTAACCAGCCGCCCTCGCGAATTCTGCAGCAGCTCTTTCTGCCGCCCTGTTACGAAGAATGCGATTGATGCTGCTGACGGATGGAGCTGTAGCGTTAGTGCAAACTCCTGAAAAGATTATTTTAGTATCAGTTGGTGTATGGGAACCAATTTATGTTCAAAATGTAACATTTTGTAAAGTCTGTTGGATTTGTTGGAATACGTAACCCAATCTGAATCTATTTAAACGTTGTGATAATTCAAAAGGTACCAACCCAAAAACATTTATTGTTGGAGTTGAAGTATCGAAATAGGTTTTAAATTACCGCCGTATATTCTGGAGTAAGCAGTGCAAGGGGATTTTTTTCCGATCGATTCGTAATCTCAGTTTTTACGTCTTTGACTACGTAAAAGTCTCATTTTGTCGATGAGCAAGCTTTCACATCGATTCGTAACCTGTTTTTAATAACGAAAATTTCAATTCCATGCATGAATTGGTTTTTTGTACGTCAGAGTGGGTAATGTTAATTACCTCGTTGATTAAATAGATATCGGTATAGACGTAACGAACCGGGCAGCAAAATTCGGGCGGGCAAAAAGCCGAAAACCACATAATCAATCAACACTTTTTTCTAGATTAATAACAAAGAGTTTGTTCTTGCTGAAAAATAGTTTCGCCCTCCATTGTTCCTCAATTCTACGGAGCCATTAGCTTCGGCGATTCAATTCGTCACGCTGATCAAACTTAAGACGTCCATTCGGATAAAATTCGATTGCAACAGCTACAAACGAGCACGGAAATCGACTCAGTTGAACGTTCTTCACACGTACTTACATCTTACTGTCAAACTGCGACGATGGAATTTTGTTATTGAGTAAAACGTGAAGACCAATACTGGGCTTTTCGAGTCGTTGAGCAATTGAGTAAGAACAGAAAACGGATTATTTGATGTAGAAAAACGTATATACTGACTGAAAAACGTCGTCTTTACAATGCTCCAATAAGCATTTGGTAAAGCTATGTTATTATTATTATTATTGTTATTATTTTTAAAGGTACAAGAACATGTTTATTGTTCCAATTTAAGCACATACGTATGCATCGCTAGGAACTCAATTAATCAAACAAAAATTAGATGTCGTGTCGGTTATCTCACTTCTTGTAAGTAGTTAGTCTAAGTATTTGGTATATATTTTCTGGTTTTATTATCCTTTCAGCATATTGTATTCAAAAATTTTTCGTTTCTCAAAACCTATCAAGTTGGGTATCAAACAATAGGGTTGTATAAATGGCATACAAAAATGTACAGGTCTGACGAAGGAAGCTGGCGAGCGGTCGCGCAGGTACTTGCCCATTTATGACCTATTTGGGTAAGTCACTTGGAATCGATACACTAATAAGCTTTCAGTAGGCGTAAATTATAGTATTAATACAGATAGGACAGTAGCGTACTAGAAAATAATGTAAAAGCATGACTTATCAAAAAGAAAAAATTAACCTATTGCTTTTGTTTTATAGTTAGTTTTCACTTTCATTCTCATCATGGGAATCTCTATCACTGTCACCAACATCAACAATTAGTTCTTCTGTTTGTCTGTCTATTACTTGCTTACTGATCCCTGCTTTTAAATATTTAATCTACGCCCCTGATAGGAATACTGAAGAATGAGGGCTGCAATCTTTATACCTAAAACTGCCTACTTTTGCCATCGCGCAACCACGCCATTTTAAAATTTCCGCCAGCTTCCAGCGTCAGGCCTGTATACGACTTTACGTTTAAATGTAATTTGGAATGTGATAAGTTTGAAAATTTTATGTTCACAATTTATCACGTAATCGGGTTTTTTGTTTTTATTTCAATTACTCCCAGTAATTGAATTACTCCTCCAGAAGTAATTCTGGAGGACCCATAAAGCAGAGCCGGCCAAACTCCGCTTCTAACGCTCCTAGGTGTCGTCCTTTCCCTTCTTGACCCACAACTAGACAGGTATAATGCCACAGGTACACTGTCGAACGATATCTGTCTTTATGTCTTGGGGGGGAGGGCTTGGTTACGAAGGAAGAGAGACAAGTATCGCTCGTTCCTATATTTGTCTCTGTTGCATACAATGTAGTCGCTCCTAAGAAGTCAAGGTTTGACCGGCTATGCCATAAAGCAGTTTCTTCTTTAACTTCACCTCTTCTGTCTTTAAATATAAACTCTGAGCCATTTGAAGTGACGGCTCCTGCAATAAAACTGCCAACAATGAACCGCCTTGGCTCATACCTAAGTGCGTTTACAACTTTACGGCGCTATTCAAACGAAACTCGTTATATATACTGTTATGTACCTATGTCTACAATGCTCAAAATCGTTTGGAAACATTCAGAAAGGTGTCTTCAAACGAATTCTACAGGTCGGACGAAGGAAGCTGGCGAGCGGTCGCGCAGGTACTTGCCCATTTATGACCTATTTGAGTAAGTCACTTGGAACCGATACACAAATAAGCTTTCAGGAGGCGTAAATTATGACATTAATACAGATAGGACAGTAGCGTACTAGAAAATAATGTAGAAACATGACTTACCAAAAAGAAAAAATTAACCTATTGCTTTTGTTTTATAGTTAGTTTTCACATTGACTGTCCTAATGGGAATCTCTATCACTGTCACCAACATCAACAATTAGTTCTTCTGTTTGTCTGTCTATTACTTGTTCACTGATCCCTATTTTTAAATATATAATCTACGTCCTTGAAAGGAATACTGAAGAAAGAGGGCTGCAATCGTTATACCTAACACTGCCTACTTTTGCCACCGCGCATCCACGCCATTTTAAAATTTCTGCCAGCTTCCAGCGTCAGGCCTGTACTACCCTATCTTATTGAAATATGGGAGATGCGCAGGTAGTGTAGGTAGAGGTTTTATTACATCCGCCGCCACTTTAGATGGCTCAGAGTATATCTTTAGAGGAATAATTGTTCTGAAAAAATGTACAGTTTAAATGGTTGTTTTCAGTTCACAGTAAAGCTACGTAGAACAACCACAGATTTCTTTCTGTACAACCCCCACATATAAAAGTAACAATCTGAATAAGCATCAAAATTTATTGGAGCATCATTATTTCTCCCTTGTTCACTGGTACACACACATACTTCGCATTTCCTTATAAGATGACCAATGGTATGTTTTATTGCTACTTATACATAAGTACATGCGTAAATAATTCAACAATTAGATAGTGTAAGCGATTCATAACAATAATTGTTCCTGTACCTTAAGCGGCCAAAAGAAAAGAATAACAAGAAAGACGTTCGTGATTGCTTATTGTGCCCAAGCGAACACTATGTAAGCTTCCCGTTTGCTCTGATTGTCGCTATTCACTGTTGCATAAAAAGACAAACCGAAAAGAACGTTTAATAAATCTCTATCATCACAAACCGGAGATATAGCTAATTTAATGCAGAACAATTTCAGCTCATTAGTTTACTGGTTTAATTATATTATGTGATCTGGGAATAGTTCCTTAAACGGAGATAATCATCCGAACTTATTTATCACCGCAAATGTAAAATGTTTATTTCAACCGTTTATGTCAGCTGTAATCGATCGTTTTGGCAGAGGAATAGACTTTCCAGGCGAATTTCACGGTCAAGTGAAACAAATTGAGGTTATGGAATAGAATTCTCTCAATTCTTTTCGAATTACACTTAAAACTGAGGTATGTGGAGACTTTAATAGTAGTTGCATCATTACCATTCTATTACTCTACAGGGGTTTGCAACAAAGTAGTAAAAGGTTTAAAGGCTAATTGACCCACATAACTACCTTAATCACTTACTTGTTGGTTAAATTTAAACGTTATAGCCTCCGGACTGATGTAAATTCAATGTGGCTTCAGCTTTTAATAATTTTCAGAGACTATTAAAGCGTGGTAGTCTTTGGAATTTTGCTTTTGAAACTTACCTTTTTATTAACAATAAATTCATGTAGGTACGTGTAAATAAGACTCGCATCATGTAGCCAGTCATCAAAAGTAATTTAACAATTAATTGTTTGCTTTCTCCTTGTTAAATGAATAGCAAGGGATATCATGGTTGGCACATATTAAAAGCGGCGCTCGAGAAGTCAGCCCGAGGCCCATAAAATCATGATTAACAGTCCGCAGTTCCGGCTGCCGCAGGGCCTGCGCAGATACAAATTAGCCAATTCACCTCAAATCGGCTCAAATTACAGGGCATTACAACAGTCATGACAGTTTATGCGGCTCTCCAACCCCCGAGGACAAATAAACCGAATTTATGCGAGGACGGTTTTCGATCGCGTCCACCGATACGTCCGGTGTTGCCCTGCTTGCGCCGTTATTGGTCGTTATTTATTACCACTGAAATGATGGTGGATTGCCATTGAAGGGGCTCAATAAATAAGACCTTACTGATTATTAGGAGAGTAAAAGCCACGGCGGACAATGACAAGGATCGATCGAAAAATCGCACAGCGCTGCGCTCTACGCTTATTAGCAACGCTCCCGGCAATGGCGTTGTCTAGTTGAATGTCGAGAAGAGTTGCAACGAAAATTATCACTTCTTCGATCTTGATAACGTAAAATCTAAGGAAAAGAAGTCACTGCCTCGCGATGTCTATTTAAATGGTACCACTGCTACCATAGATTGAGACAAACCACTAATCAATAAATAGTAGATAGAATCTCTGATTTCCCGTACGTGATTATGCATAATATACGTACTAGACATACACAGAGTGATTTGAACATAACTTAAATTGTTTTTCTAATTCTTCTAGTTGTGGTTAGGACTCATTTCTACTAAACTAGGGTTGATTGTTTCCATCAGCACTTCTTGCCATCAACGTACTGGAAACCCATATTTTGACAGAGACGCCGATAATTCGCGATCTCGGGGAACCAGCTGATCCTAATAGACCATACACTGCTACTTTTTCAAATTGAATCAAACCTCTTATAATATTAAATGGATTTAAATCCCTAAAAGATTTTCTGTACGTGCTTAAACTTAATACATTACACATACAGAGTGTTTTGAATTTTGTTTTTTTATGAATTAGGCAATAGGGGTAACATACATACACTATGTCTGATTAGTACTCCGGAAAAATTAGAACGGGAGGA